CTGAACCCAAAATTCTCACCCACTGCAAACGGTAATGAACAAAAGAAATGGAAGACTTTAGCTTTCTCATGTCAATTGATTTAAGACTCTAAGTATGGAAAGTGATTGTAAGGATCTAATGTAATTTTATCCTGCTTCTCAGGCCTCATACTCTGAACAGCACGAGTATGTCCAAAGCCTATCAGAGCACATTTACAGGGGAAATTAACACCCCGTACAGCAAGCAGTTTGTTCATTCCAAATCTTCTCAATACCGTCGACTGAAGACCGAGTGGAAAAACAATGTGTACCTGGCCCGTTCTCGCATTCAAGGACTGGGACTCTACGCTGCTAAAGACCTTGAAAAACACACCATGGTCATAGAGTACATTGGCACCATCATACGCAACGAGGTTGCAAATCGCAGAGAGAAGATTTACGAGGAGCAGGTTTGTAGATGTCAAGCTTCCGCTATATATTTTCTCTATTTTTCTTTTTTTTTAACCTCTTTGGTTTCTTCAATCAGAACCGCGGGATCTACATGTTTCGCATCAATAACGAGCATGTGATTGATGCCACCTTAACTGGCGGTCCTGCCCGGTAAGATCAAACTTCCTGTGCTGTTCTTGCAATACAACTGTTTGGTTTGGGTCTTAGTTTATGATTTCTTTGTCTCCCTAGTTATGTCAATCATTCTTGTGCACCCAACTGTGTCGCGGAAGTTGTGACATTTGATAAAGAGGACAAGATCATCATCATTTCTAGTCGCAGGATCCCGAAGGGTGAAGAGGTAGGTTCGAGTTACATTTTTCATTTGGCAGTGCTCTCAGTGCTGTTACCCAGTATAATCCTTTGTATTCTCCTCTCTCAATCTGTTTTAGCTGACGTATGACTATCAGTTTGACTTCGAGGATGATCAGCACAAGATCCCCTGCCATTGTGGAGCCTGGAATTGCAGAAAGTGGATGAACTAACAGGGACAGAGGAGGAGTCCGACCCGTCTTTGCTCCCTGGTGCCAGAACACTCCTGCGCCAAAGCCTGTTATATTCTTACTATCCAGTTAATAAGCTGCTCTGAATCGAGGAAGAAAAGTTCACTCTCAGTCACCTGAAAGACAAGACTTTGTTATTCACAACAAGAGCCAAAGCTTTGAAGAGTACACTTTTGAAGACACAACCTTTTACAGATGAGCTTGAAGGTATTGGATCTGCTTGAATCTTTCACGTTGATTAAAAAATTCACCTCTGCCAAAAGCACTTCCACTGTTTCCTCCTACAATAAGCTGACTCTGGCTACAACTGATCCCTTCGACATCTACCAAAACAACTGAAGCTATAGCATATCAATACACTTAGAACTAGAACTCAGTGAAGATGTTTGATTAAAGCCATGTAAGTACTCAAAAATGAACTAGTACAATTTAGCTTGGACCTATCCTTCCCGCTACCATCCTTTCCATCACCCCAGACGAACGCTCTCCCATCAAATCATCAATGAAAATCGTGGACCTTGGCAAGACAATCCTGGAGTGGCTCTGCTTAGAACTGTGTTGAGATACTATTGACCTGTGGCTCGAGAGGCAGGAGATGTTTTATTATATTGATTTAAAAGGTGGGTTTATTTCACCCAGTCTACCTCATTGAGTTTGTGGGACGTCACTGCTTTGTATTAAACTGTTAAGTGCTACTGTGGAAAGGGGAAGGCAGGAATGTGTCCATGGCAATTGCCTTCTCGGGTAAGCAGGGAAACTTAAGCAGCAGGTTTGCTCCTATCTATATTTTGCTTTCGGATGATTACAATAGCGAGCCAGTGCAACTCTTTTTGATTTGATTACACAAATGAGATACAGTATATGATGATGCATTACTTCGAGCAATCAAAACTCAAACGGGTGTCTCGCAGGCCACCTTTTTCCGATTGTAGATATCATGTAGCTGCGTCAGCACGTGCAGATCATGTTTTTAGTGTATAAACGCTCATCAGGATCCTCTCACATTCTTAACGGTGGAGCAAATAATGAGAAAGGGCCACAGTGCAGATCCACGTTGATGCAATTTGAAAGATTATAGGGCAAATAAAACTAGTGATGCAAGACTGCCACTGCATTTGACATGTTTTCCCATCTTGAATCCTTACATCCTGCCTTCATTAGATCTCCATTCGGATCTCATCACTCCAACCAGGACCCTTAGGTGTAAGCCTCTTCCCTTCTGTGATAGTGGACTGTTGTAAACTTACTGTAGTGAGTCTTTCTCTGCCTGCGGACGGCCGGTTGTATCTAATCTATGTATCGTGGTTTGATAGTGGTAGCACAGTCTACAGGCTTGATGCAGTGACGGAGGAAGACTTAAAAAGGGCATTTCTATTTTCTTTTATATTAAAGTAATTTAAAAGTTAAAAACAGTTGAATTTCAAAGAAGGGAGTTGAACAAAGTCTCCACATAGCCCATGCTACTTTGTTCCTTTCTCCCCTGACGTATGACCTCACGTTAAGAATAAATGCAAAATGTATAAACTGTACATAATAGGGGTCTAAACTCTTTATCCAGCCCCTTTTTAATCAAATTCAAAATTGTAGAGAAATAAAAATCATGAAAAAAAGCAACCACTGGATATCATTTTATCAGAAAACTAAATGTGTATATATCTATAAATATATGTAAAATGGCAAACTAAGTAATATCTTTATGTATATGAACCAGAGTGTTTTTGCATTTAACTTTTTTTTTTTTTTTTATCTGTTTTTTTTTCCTACAAGACCATATACATATTAAAGGTGTGATGTTTCTCTGTTCTTCACCAATGAAATTTGGAAGAGTGGTTGCGGTGAATGAGACAAACATTTAAGATGGGATTCATGCAAAGTTCTTTATTGAAATAGATTTTTTTTTTTTTTGGGGGGAAAGAAACAGCAGTAAAATGGTGCATAGCATTTGTGTATTTATGTAATATTGTTCACGTATATTTCTTTTATTTATGCTACTGCTTGTGAATTACTGATCCCTGTCCTTGAATCAGTGACAGTTTAATTAGTATATTCAGTAAATGGAAAATCTTGAAGCTCCCAAGATGATACTGTTTTTGATTCGTGTCCTATTGTTTCCCGCCCCTCCCGGTAGAAGTGAATGTTTTATATGACTTCTGAAAAGGCTGCATAGTCGTAGAAAGGTATGACTTCATTAATCGAAAATATCTCCATTAATTACATGTGAATTGCACTCAGCATTTTTTTTTATTTATACATCCTCCGAACTAGCATTGGTTCTTTTAAGGGTAGTCTGTTATTAAAGACGCTCACTGGATTTTAGCCTGAGTAACTCTTGCCCCCCCTTTGTTCTTTTGAAATCTCTTAATTTAAGCTCTATACACATGTTGTAATTAAATAAATAAATAGATCCTGATTTTGGTTTTCAACCTGATCTACTTTTTAAAAAAGATGCTGCAACTGTACAGCAGAGCTACTTTTAGGGATGATGAATAAAATGGTAATTTTTATTGTATGTGGCATGTTTTGTATGGATATAATTTTGAATTGTACATATTTTTTGACGTCAGAGGTTGCATCTCTTTATATACAGCTGTCCCCTTCCCTCCCAGCCCTCCATTTATTTCTTTGTCTCTGCTTTATTTCTTGTAAAGAAAAATAAAATGCATTTTAAATATAAATGTTGTCAAATTTGAAGCTTTATAAACTACTTTTGCATAGCATCTTTTAAAGGCTATTCTAAATTAAGTTATTGGAAAGAGTCAATGAAACAGAAATAAGAAAAAGGATTTATTACTGTATACCATTTATGTACATTATATTAACTAACCCACAAGTGTATTTGTTTTTAACATGTTTAAAATACACATGGAATCTTAGGATCAAGAACTCATATGCATCCGACTGAAAGCATTGTCTACCAAGTCTGAACTCTTATTATCAAGACTAAAATGGACAAACATGTCAGGGAATTTAGACTAAACCGCCTCTACAAAGCGGCAGTAACTACCGTCTTAAACGAGTGTCGTTCAGAATCATCCAAATGCCTTTCCTCAAGTCTTAAGCACAAGTTAAAGTACATGTTTTACAAACAACCGCAAAATCCAAGTTGTGAGAAAAAGCAAGTACAATATAAATAGTGGAACAATTAGCCTTTACATTTCTACAGACAGAATTCCCAGTGTATAATGTAGAGCACCATGGTATAACAAAATTCAGTCATCATTTTATTTTAGGCATTCTCAATGCCACCCAACTCAACTGAATCATGCTACTGTCATCAAACATATTCCAGCTACGCAGAGCAGATTCATATAATATGACCTTGAAAGTATAAAATGCATAGGTCAAACAGAAATGGACTGTAATAGAGCCTGCAATGGATTTCACATGTTACACATAATACAGGACCCTTGTTCTCATCCAGCCATTCTACAAGCATTTCAGACCATTAATGCCAAAGCTAATCTAATCATTTTTCGCACCTACTATTATACATATCCCATGGATTCCAGTTAACCATTCAGAACATCTGCAGGTTTTTGACTTTGATCAAGACAATGGAGGAAGTAGTTTAGTTGGCTTTCTAGGGATGTGCTAGTTATACAATGTCGCCATGTCCAACATTTGGTCTTGGCAAACCCCAACTGTAAATATGAGAAGGAAATGTTTAGTTGTACTTTTAAATTAAACTGAATGACAACTCTTCAATGCAAGGCAAAGCAGAGCAATATAAATGTTATAATGCAGGCAAATAGAGAGATGCATTATTTTACTTCAATACTTTACATGTGTGTTTTCTGAAGTGGTACTAACTACTAAATCCCCAAAAGAACACTGACTGCAAACAAATAACAACAGTGCAATTTAACATGCCAACATCCCAGAATAATAGGAATACAACATACTAAACAATCCCATTAAAATAACAGTTGGATTTTAACATACAAGTGGTAATGGCTTTCCTTTTCTCAAAATGCGGTCGGATAACAATACTAAACATGTGCAATCATTCTACAATGCATTCAGCCCAGTTAAATAAAACAAAAAACATGCACACACACTCTCCCTGTGAAAATTTAAAAGCATTTGAAGCCAAAACCACATTGATGGTTTTGACATTTTTAACAAACGCAGCCTAAAGAAAGATAAATAGGCTGATTTTTACACGAGTATATGATCTGCACTCCTTCATTTCTTCCACAGGAACAAAGAACTGCAATGCCACTTGGTCACACGGTCGCGGTGTGTCCGCTTTGCTACACTTAGCTTTGTACATGAATTGCTAGTCATAACAGGAGGAGACAGTGTTATCCACGTTTTTTCACATTCTCACAACAGCAGTAGAGCACTATAATTGTAGATTGACGCTGAAATATGACATATGGTGTATTAATGAATGAGGTTGAACAAATCAAATCTAAACACATTCTTTCAAGAAGTCCATTTTGGACAAAAGTGGTGAAATAAAAACAATGATAAAATCAAAATGCCAGTCACAGTTCAATTGTCATTCCTGCCAAAAAAACTAAAATAATTCAACAACCGTAGGTCCATGGAGGGAGGTTGCGCTGATGTCAGCGGTTGGAGGCTCATCCATGATTGGGAACGTTGATGTTGGAGAAATGGAAAAGGGCTGGGATGGACTCAGACTCAGTAGTTTCGTCTTAGATGGTGAGGTAGGCCTCGTCACAACTTTCGAAGGTTCAAAAAAGGGCTAAAACTGGCAGGCTGCTTTTGGCGCAAGTCTTTATTATTCGCTTGTTCGTCTCTGCGGTGTCCCGCGCGTTTCAGATCTTAACGTCTTCTTGAACGCTGAGTTGCGAGAGAGTCTTCTTTATCCGCAGAGCCGTAAGCCGCGCCGCTCCGTTGGCATACCAACACTCCCGCATGATCTTTCCCATCACTCTCAGCGCCTGTGGAGAGAAAACACAAATCAAAATGAGTTTTCCAGGCTCTCTCACAAGTATGCCTGCGAATCACAGCTGAATTTAATTAAAAGGCTGTATTTTTACATGGAACGGTCTCAAGATGGCACGTGTGAAGCATATTGCACTCAAAAATGGCTTTTCAAATTGGCAAGCATGTTTGTGGTGAACGCTGCACCATTATTTGAGTTTTTGTTTCTTATTATGGTCTACTATTATCATCATTTACTAAGTCAAGTCAAGTATTGACAACAACTGTGGTTGGTCAATTACTGCAAATGTCAATTAGATGACCTTATATATAATTTATATATAACCTTATATAAGTGGGACTGTCTTGGGCACAGTAAGCTAAAAAGAGTTTTATACCTCATAGCTCTGCCACCAGTTGGGCACATTGGGCCGTAGTCTCTGGTCACAAACCACCTTCCTCATCTCTTCTATGGAGGGATCAGAGGGCACCAGATCATAGTAGGGAAGCTGGTAATCTTCATGGATGCCTGAGAAGATGGTCAAAACGTGAGCTTGTTTAGTGTTAAATGGCTCAATTCATCTATATCTATATTATTTAGCATTACTGATAATCTGTAACAAAATATATCAGAATTCACAGTCCCAAGGGGAAAAAACATTGCATTTTAACTGCAATATGATACATTTTTAATCTCTAAATAGAAAATATAGTGCCTTACAAACCCAAATCATTTGTAGATGCATTGGATAAAAGACCAATATAAACTCAAGAAAAACAATGTAGGCCTATAAATCCCACACATGCTTTAACCTTCCAAATATTTAATCTCTAACTGAGATAAAAAAATAAATAAAAAAAAATTCATCTCTAAAGTTGCTACTATCAATAAGCAAGCTGTTATGCCAGTAGGAATGTTTATGTTTTTGCTCACCAAGGATGCATTTATTTGATCCAAAATTATACAAATACAGAAACATTGTGAAATATTATTAAAATCTGAAATAACATTTCTATTTGAATGCATTTTAAAATGTCATTTATTCAAGCCCTTACTCCAGTCTTCAGTGTCACACGATCCTTTAGAAATCAATCTAATATGCCGATTTGTGACTCAAAAAACATTTTATTAGCAATGTTTAAGCAATGTCGTATTGCCTAATGTTTTTTTTGTGGCAACCATGATACTTTTATCTTCAGAATTTATTGACAAATAGAAAGTCCCAAAGAACAGCATTTATTTGAAACAGAAATCTTTTGTAATATTATAAATGTCCTTTTGAATAATTTAATGCGTCCTTGCTGAATAGAAGTATTCAAATCTAACTGACCCCAAACTTTCATATGGCAGTTTCTAAACACTTTTTCACTCACAAATTGAATCCTTTAAAAATATGTCATTGAAAAACCCATAATGACAGACCACTATTCAGGCACTGAAGTGAGACATGACCCCCAGAGCTCTATGGCACCTACAGCCTGTGAAAGCACTGATTTAAATGACGTTTGTTAAGATACTGTGGGTGGATGATTAGTCAGGCTCTTTGCAAGCTTCTTGTTCCTCACCTCCAGCATTACACCGTCGCGCAATCTCCCAGTATACCAGTCCCAAAGCGTAGATATCAGCACACTTGAAAGAATCAAAATGCTTCATGTTGATCGTTTCATCTAATACCTCTGGGGCCATATATCTAAAAGGCAAAAAAAAAAAATCACATCAAGTAATGCAATCTTCATGGTTACATTTACATATAAGCAGCTGTTAACAGAATTTAGTAAGAGTGCCTGGCGGTAGATGTACCTTTTGGTGCCAACCCTCTGATTGGGGGCGATGTCTATAGTATCAGTGATGGACTCGTGCCGTACAGCGAGCCCCAGATCTGCTATGGCACAAGTACCATTCTTTTTCACCAGGATGTTTTTAGATTTCAGGTCACGATGTGCAATGCCTGGTTTCCCTGTGGGACGAGACCATCTTGGTTTAGTTCGGTTTTGGGAGTACAGGATTTGAGAGATATTACAGCTCATATAACCAATGCATCAAATGCATTCATTCATAATTACCCTGCGTTCCCAAGATCTCCATGTGCAGATGTGCCAAGCCACTGGCTGCTGAGAGTGATAACTTAATCATCCCCTCGATAGTGACAGAGTAGTGGTTGAGATAGTCAAATAATGAGCCATGTTCATGGTAGTCTGACACCAGCCACAACTGTGTCCATGTGCCATTGTCTAAGAAACAAAGTCAAAGCAAAGAGATTTAAGGGTTGGAACAAATCACTCTCTTAAATGTTTGATCAATTTGTAAAATTATATATATATATATATATATATATATTTTTTTTTTATAATATTCAAGTAATCATGTTATATATGATTATTTAAATTATTATAAATAATGATAATATTTACGATAGATCGAGTGAGTACATCTTACCTTTATTATCAGCAGCAATGAAGCCTAAGATGTTCTCATGACGGAGCATGATGGTCTGGTAAATCTCAGCCTCGCGGAACCAGGAGCGCTCCTCTCTGGATGAAAAGATCTTCACAGCCACATCCCCTCCTCTCCATCTCCCCCTCCATACTTCCCCAAAACGACCTTTACCTATGATCTCCTGCAATACAATTGTCCTAGCCACTGTCCTCTGAACAAACAAGGGCAGACCTGCAATAAGAAAACGCATTAGCACATGAACAAAACACTTGTCAGATATGCTGGAGAAGGATAAAGATGCAGCTTACCAGATCCTGAACCAGAGGTGGACAGATCGAAGATGAGATCCTGTAAGGTCTTGTCTTTGGCCAAGTACAAATGATCACAGGACGGATCCTCAACGTCGAGTCGCTGCCGGTGGTTATAGTTCCGTTGGTGGTACTGGAAAACGAGCACTCCAACGATAAGCAGCAAGCAAAAGAGGAAGACCGGGCCTGCTATCACTGCCACCAGCTCTACTGGACCCCAACTTCCCCCTTTACCTTCAGGAATCCCTGAAAGAGACGAGGAAATGCGCATTACAGGCTGGACCTGTAGGGATGAACTGATATTAAGATTCAAGAGACAAATGGCCAATATTAAAACCAACAGTTTTAAATGCTACAAGTGAATGTAGACATCACAAAATTATAATACAGTATGAAAAATGCAAATTCATTTTGATATTCGCTAAACATCACATTTAGAGATTAACTGCAACAGTAAGTGTTGGAGATGATGGTAATGTAGATGTAAGAATAAGGGGAAAATGCATACACAATTACATATCCTATATTGAGCAGCATAAAAACTTTCATTTTGGCAGTTAACTAAAAATTATGTATAATATGTTCTTGAAAGTAGTCCCTTATGCTCTCACCAAAGATGCAATAAAAAAAAAGCAAACCAGTAATATTGTGAAATATTAATAAAATAACTTTTCTATTTGAGTATATTTTGAAATATAATTTATTCCTCTGATGGCAAAGCTGAATTTTCAGCAGCCATTACTCCAGTGTCACATGATCCTTCAGAAATCATTCAAATATGTGGATTAATATTTCTGTAGAAACCATGATACATTTTTTCAGGATTCTTTGATGAATAGAACTGTTAAAAGAACAGCATTTATTTGATCTTTTGTAATATTATACAGTCACTTTTGATCAATTGAATGCGTCCTTGCTGAATAAAAAGAAACATCTCACTGAGCCCAAACTTTTGAACAGTAGTATATTTTAGCCTGTACTCCTACCGTTGGGAATCTGGAGGTTGATGCTGTTGCAGAAGTCTGTATAGCAGCAGTGCGTGTTGAGCAGGCCTTTGGCACTCAGGCAGTAGACGGGCTGTCCGGGTGGAACCAGGTTGACCCTAGGGAGGCAGATCCGTACTTGCCGCTCCTCCTGACCATTGATGTGGGACGTAGAGGTCATGCAGGCCCCATCAGTCTCGCACACATATCCGGTGTTCTCACATGCCGTGCAATTACACTTGAGAGCTAGAGAGGAAGAGAGAGATTAAAGATTAAAATATGACTCTAAATAACTGCAATATGTGTTCGTTGTAATGTCAGATCATTAATGAGGATGCATTCAATTCTTCCTTCAGCGGATGCTTTAAGTGAACTGTGCAAACTCAAAATATCCTCCAGAGGGCAAGCAAGACCAATTTAAGGAAAGGAAAACACTGCATGCAGTGCTTCTGCCTGACTTGCCTTACTCAGAGTTCAGTTCGCAACTAAACTACATAACATGAAACTGAATCCGCCACTGCAGATGAACCCAAACAGACTGTGTACTGGCATGGGATGGCCTGATTTGGACCCCCCAATGCAGCACCTTTATAGCAGCAGAACATATTCACAGACTGTTTTGCTTTATTGAACAGTCATAGAAACAAATAATGAGCTAGAGGATTAGATTTGTGTGTGTATATATATATATATATATGGGCCATTCTACAGAATTGGTTCAAAGTCAGAGTTAGAAACGTCTTGATTTTTTTGTTGTTGTCTTTTTCCACAAATTTTGTATGTATGCAAATTGTATAATATCCAAGGTACACATTTCTAAAATTGACACTACCGAAACATGTGGTGAAGTTTCGGTTGTGACATGGTTTTTTGAGTGTTATTCGATAAAATTGTTTTTTTTGTGTGTACAACTGTTCAGAACTGTGCTAGTTAACCATGTCCTGATTAGCATCTTTGAGCTAGGCTCAAAAAGTTTCTCAAATTGTCACTACCGAAACAGTCATGTCCGAAACATGTCGTCATTGTTTTGGTAGTGATAAAAGGGAACACACAATAATTTATTTATTGTTTATTTATTTATAAACAATAATTATCATAATGTATTTTCAGAAAGTTTTGGAATATTTTTCCTCTCCCCAAATCGGTCACTACCGAAACACAATAATAAATAATTTAATAAGAAGGCTTATATAGACCTATTATTATTTTGTTTACATCTACCTAGTAAATATATTTTTTGCCATTTAAAAAAAAAGGTTTTCCCAGGTTAATCAATAACAATTTTAACAATATTTCAAGTGTGGTTTATACGATTTGTTGTATTTTGAATCCAATCTTTCTTTGTAAAAGGCATTATGTTAATCATACTGATTTCAAAGTTCATTAGTTTGAATATACATTGAACCAAACACTATAATAACATCGTAGTTGATAATTCAATATACTTTATTTTAGACCAAACATCCCATGTTTTGGTCGTGACGCCACATTTTCGGTAGTGACAGTAATGTTTTGGTAGCGACCACATTACATTACAGAATTTTAACTCGCATACTAAAACACTACTAAAACATACTAAGATACTAATGATTTGCATAACTGTACAAAATGCTTGTTTATTTCCCCCCTAAATAAATGATTATGTGTTCCCTTTTATCACTACCAAAACAATGACGACATGTTTCGGTCATGACTGTTTCGGTAGTGACAATTTGAGAAACTTTTTGAGCCTAGCTTAAAGATGCTAATCAGCACATGGTTAACTAGCACAGTTCTGAACAGTTGTACACAAAAAAGCAACATTTTATCGAATAACACTCAAAAACCATGTCACAACCTAAACTTCACCACATGTTTCGGTAGTGACAATTTTAGATGCTTTTGAGCCTAGTTCAAAGATGATAACCAGCACATGGTTACATAGCACAGTTCTGAACAGTTGTACACACACAAAAACTAAATTTTATGGAATAACACCCAAAAAAAGATTGCTTAATTGCAGAAAAATGTGTTTGGTAGTGACATTCCTTAGTTACAAACAGATTTTCAGACTTTTGAACATTTCCCTAAAAATGATGGTACCCATCTACAATGAAAGAGAGGCTATGAGCGAGAGGGACACAGGCATATTTCCTGATCAAAAATGTAGGGTTGTGGTTCAAATCAGTCTCAGCAAATGGACTAAAACACACACTGTTTCGGTATGGTAGTGACATTAAAATGCGGGACACATTTAAACAAAGTTTCATCATTTAAAAATAAAATAAATGTTTGTTTTTTTAAAGAAATCAAAAAGATATTTTGGAGATATAATGAAAAAAAAAAAGTCAATATAATTTTCACAAGTTGAAATTTAGGGGTTAGGGTTCAGGACAGCCACCTGAAATGAAGCCACCCAATTGAAAGTACCCAATACATTATGATTTTTAATATATATTAAGCTTACTTAGATCCTTCTATTATCTATTGAATCACACACACACACACACACACTTTCTAGGGTGTTCTGGGTTGCTGCTAACTAGTCAAAATTCACAAGTTTCAAGTCTCTGGATATGGCTCGGCTGCTTCCTTCAATGTCTATAGCACTGGTTTCTCAACAAGGGGTCTTAACATGGTTTGTTAAAATATTAAACTAATATCTAAAAATCAAAACTGTTTATCATCCATCGACAAGGCTGTTAGATTTTGTTATTGACACTTTTGTTCATCAACTAGCTCGGCAAGGTTAAGAGCCAATGCTGGAAAGATCAAATATCATCCAATTTATTAAAATGTTACTAACTAGAGACCACTAGATACATGTTTACATCCAATAATTTTAATAAATTGGAAATAATCCAATCCGATTCTTACACATTACAGGACGTGATGTCACCAGATGCGACCCAGTGTCTGTTTTTTTCTCGTCATAAGAGCTACGTTGCCCATTATAGTTCGGTACAGGCATCAAATGCCACCTATTTGCAACAGAGGAATTCCTGCTGCTGTTTTGACTCCTTTACACATTTTCTCAGTTGGTCATAATGTCATCACATGTACGCACATATAACGAGCACATTTAGCCCAGCACACAGGCAGCATTGTTTTGGATGTTCAGTAAGTTACGTCACAAAAAACGTTTTTTTTGTATTTTTTTTTTTTGTATCTTTAGGTTGGGTCTTAAAAATGACCGTGAACGAACGGGACTAAATGTATTATTTTCTTCTTTTTTTTGTTGGTCTGGACCAAAAGAACCAAACTACAAATGTGAACACACCCAAAGACTACTATAGTACCATGGACCTTTTTGTTTTCATTAGCAACAACATGATCTTAAAAGCCTGCGGGCATAAAGACATAATTTATCTTCAGGGGCATTCAAATGGTCACGAGGACCAGATCACCTTTTGTAACCATTTTAGATCTGTCATCATCACTATTAGTTACATTTGTGTCTCTTCAGCAAGTCAGACAAACTAAGACAGGATATGATGACTGCTGGTACACAGACTGCCGAGGGTGACCGAGGTCATGACACGAGGGGTGGCATTCACACTTCACCGGCGCCCCTGATTTTATCCGAGCCGCATACAATGGCAGGCCACTTAAGACAAATTGCAGTGGTTTTAAAATAACAGGACTTCAGAAGCTTGACGGCTGATCACAACAGGGCCCACCGAGGGACAAACAGCACTTTAAAGCCCAGACTTTTCTGGGCGTCCCTGTCAAGAATGTTCTATTCTAATCCTCTCATTTCAATGCTTTTCTTTCACCTTTCCCACATGTTCAGGCCTCTGTTTGTACCTTGTACTCCTACTGTCACTCATCTCACTCCAGAAACACTTAATTAATCTGACTCACTACCCTTCCTCCTACAGTTTTTCATACACAGGTTTTATTGCACAACTCATGACATGCAAGTGGCTGAACCACACCCTTCTGAACAAGTGTCAACTTCGCTTTTTCACCATGTGTATGTGTGGGGAGGGGTGTATGTGTCAAGTGTCATAGAGCAAGAGAGGGAGTGCGAGAGTGTGTTTGTGTACTCTTTATAAATCTTATAAAGGCTGTGATCTAACAGACACCGAAGCGCACTGCCAGTAACCGTTAGTGGAGCGGATCCAAGTCAACTGAAGTTCACATGCACAAGGAATTTCCTGCAGATTACACGGAGGTAACCAGGCCCTGATAACAGGAGAAAAACAACCCGGTGCCATAATAACCTCCTAATGGAGCACACACGATATCATTAAATCACGGGGCAGCAAATAGAATGACTGTAATTGCCTCATAGTGTCTTGCTAAAGGGTTCTGAGAAAACGCAGTGTAGTTATCACTTTAATCACAATCAGGATAACTATACTTACAGCTGAAGGGTGTCTTTTTATGTTAATATATATTCCAAGCTATGTTCAATCAACAGCACCAGGGACAAAATGTTGATTAGGAGTAAAGTCACAAGACGTAAACAATATGAGCATTAACGTGATTTTATTGTGGGAAAAAAACACTAACCTTTTCTGTGTAATGTTAGATCCATTTTTACAATTTTGTGATCATGGCAACAAAATGCCTTATACCCTAAACACAAGTTTTAACAGAAGACTTAATGCAAGTGCTTTTAAATAAATAAAAGCTTCTCATTTCTGCTTTGAAATTCTCTTAAAAACAGCCCCATTCACTTCAATTGAAAGAGCTTCACCATAATGTCGAATTTTTTGTGGTAAACAGTATGCCATATATGTAATATGCAGAGACAACTAGAAGTAACAATTTGTAGGCTGATTTACCTCCCCAAAAAATGTTTAGACTGTTGTGCTTGTGCCATTTGTGCATCCCAACCAATCTGACTCAACTAATACTGTGATTTGATGGAGGGGCCATCTGTTTTATCGACCGATGGGAGATGATATTTTCATCAACAATAACTTTGTCGACAACATACTACACGAAATAATGTAATATGACAATCTATGTGCAAATTCATGTACTTTAAGAATAATTTCACTGAATAATGTAATGATTGGGTGTGGTTATATACAATTTAAATGTACCTTGTCATTTTAAAACAAAAAGTCCTAACTCAATCTTCCAGTGAAATGACAGAATTATATCTGGTGATGTATGCTGGACTTCTTTAGTCAGCTTAAACCCTGCCCCTCAAAAATGTACTGCAAAATCCAATAAAAAAAAAGACGTATAGCCCCCACCCTACATTTTTTATTTTGCACTCTGATATAACGGAACAATTCAGAAGAAAATAT